GATTCCTTATGAAAAATAGTTGTTGCTGTTAAGTGTCATCGAGTCATTTCTGACTCATAGAGACCCTGTATAGTTTCTGAGGAGCAGCTGGTGAGTTTGAACTGCTGACCTTGTGGTTCAAACTGATCTTGCAGTTTAGCGCTTTATCCTACAGTGCCACATCAGTGTCTCTCACCAGCAGGGGCAGCTCTTCTCTTCTCTGATACAGCTGGTCCTATCTTTCTTATGATATTGTTTTGTGTATTGTTATCGAGTCAGTTGACTGATAGTGACCCTATATAGGGTTTCTGGGGGCCAGTTGGTGAGTTTTAACCATAGACCTTACATTTCAAAATGACCTTGAGGTTGGGTGTTTATCCTATAGTGCCACACTAGGACCAATTATATCAGAGAAAGGAAGAGCTGCCTCTGCTGGTAAGAGAAACTAACTGGAGTCGGAATTAATCCAAACCCACTCAAATAATTCCACTTCTCATTACAGGGTCCCACTCTGTCCCAAACAATACTTCAAGTTCCATGTAAGAGAACTGGTTAGGCTGTAAATTCAACTTATATAATTCAACTACCTAGATATTCCAGCTGATTTTCATATACAGCAGTCTGTAGTTACAAAAGCTAAAATGATTTGGGGTTCTCTTGAACTCTGACATGCCCTGAAACAAAAAATAAAAATCCTAAGCTTTTAATTTTCTTACTGTAATCTCTCTAGTATAGTCACTATCTTTTTATTTTTTATTTTGACTTGAAAGTTTACAGAGCAGATCATCAGTTTTACATTCAACAAATCATATACCGTTTCATCTCACTGATTAATCTCCTCCATGTAACAAGTTATCCCACTTCCTCCCTGTGGTTCTCATTTCCATTCCACCCTCTTTCCCATCCCGTCTCAACTTTGTCCTTTGGTAAATGTTGCCTTTTTGATCTTGAATGATTGATCATTCCACGGTAGACATACCTTACTAGTATTGTTGTCCCAATCTATATACCTAGCTACTGCTTGGCTGAAAAATCAGGCCGCCATGAAGCCCTCATTTCTTCCAATGATCCATCACAGCAGTTGCTTGGTCTGTCCAAATCTTTCTTTAGAAGATATTTTATTACAGAGTACCACAAGTGTAAGTAACCTTTGCCACTGCAAGCCATAGGCTACCAGTTTATTGTCCATGGCAAACAGATCCAATTTAAACATATTGCTGTCGAGTTGTCTCCAACTCACAGAGATGATAAAGGACCAAAGAGAACTGCAATCTTTATGGAAGCAGACTGCCACGTTTTTCTCCCACGGAACTGCCAATGTCGTATCTGAGGACCCGATACCTATGATCACTCTGGATACCAAATACTGTATCAGCCAGTGCTCACTAACTATAGGAAACAAAATCTCTCTGCCCTGTTGACCTTATCAACTCTTTCTACCAATTTTAAATTAAAAAATAAAAAAAGGGTAAGCCTCCACTAGGTTCCCAGAATTAGGCTACCTTGTTGTTGTTGTTGTTGTTAAGTGCCGTCGAGTCGGATCCGACCCATAGCGACCCTGTACAGGGTTTCCGAGGCTGTAAATCTTTACGGGAGCAGAATGCCTCATCTTTCTCCCGCGGAGCGGCTGGTAGTTTTGAACTGCTGGCCTTAAGGTTCGCAGCCCAATTCGTAATCACTATGCTACCAGAGCTACCTTAAGGACTGCTAATTGCACTTCTGAGAAATCTGTACCTGGACCAAGAGGCAATTGTTCCAACAGAGCATGGGAACACTGAATGTTTCAAAATTGGGAAAGGTATGCGACAGGGTTGTGTTCTTTCACCATTCTTGTTCACTATGTATGCTGAGCAAATAATACGAGAAGCTAGGTTCTATGGAGGAAAACGTGGCGTCAGGATTGGAGGAAGACTTATTAACAACCTGAGATATGCAGATGATACAACCTTGCTTGCTTAAAGTGAAGAGGACTTAAAATATTTACTGATGAAGATCAAAGAGCACAGCCTTCCGTATGGATTACAACTCAATGTGAAGAAAACAAAAATCCTCACCACTGGACCAATAATCAGCATTCTTATCAATGGAGAAGAGATTGAAGTTGTCAAGGACTTCATTCTTCTTGGATCAACTATCAACACTTGCAGAAGCAGCAGTCAAGAGATCAGACGACGTATTGCATTGGGCAAATCTGCTGCATAGGAACTTTTTAAAGTATTGAAGAGCAGAGATGTCGCTTGAAGACTAAGGTGCGCCTGACCCAAGCCATGGTATTTTCAATAACCTCATATGGATGCGAAAGCTGGACAGTGAATAAGGAAGATTGTAGAAGAATTGATGCCTTTGAGTTGTGGTGTTAGAGGAGAATACTGAAAGTGCCATGGACTGCTAAAAGAACTAATAGATCTCAAGTGCAACCTGAGTGCTCCTTGGAGGCCAGGATGGCTAGGCTTCGTCTCTCAAACTTTGGACACATTGTCCGGAGAGAACAGTTGCTGGAGAAGGATGTCATGCTGGGTAAGGTAGAGGGTCAGAGAAAAAGAGGAAGACCCCCAACGAGATGGATCAGCCAGGTGGCATCACTGATGGCGTTAAGTGTGGCGGCGGTAGTGAGGTTGGCCCAGGATCAGACATTGTTTCGTTCTGCTGTGCATGGAGTCGCTGAGTTGGTTCCGACTAGATGGCACCTGACAACAACAAGGGGCTGCTACCTTTGCCACTATCAAGATGGAGACCAGGAGGCCACCACAACTGCCTAGAAGAACATATATCAGTGTCACCTATAGGAATCAAGAAGCCTCTCAACACCTAACAAAAGTTGACTAGATACTGGAATTCTGTTGAAACACAATCTAAGTTCTCTACATCCTTGCAAAAGCAATAACCAAACCAGCCAAAGATAGCCCTTATGCCTCTTGGTCTTTCCATATTTTGTTTGTATAGTTAATTGCATTCAGAATCTCGGTTTTAACACATCTAAGAAATGTGGTTTTTAGCTTTCTAGCTTCCAGAATACAAAGATACATTATGAGTACTCATTTACCATATCCACAAGTTTCCTTCCGTTGGCCCATCCATGTAAGATTAGTGACCAGACACAGAGCTCTTTCTCTAGTATCGGCCCTAGAATTTCCTTGTCTTCGGAGTTAATCTAGTCATATCCCCAGCTATTTATTTGACCCATCTACTACTACTCTTTCCCTTAGCCCATTTTGCTCCAGCCACACAAGCCGTGTGAGCTTTTTTTAAATTTATTTTTTAAGGGGGAAACTTGTTTAAAAGCAGACCAAGGACATCCTGTACTTTATTTACCCCACCAGATTAAGTTCCATAGGGACAGGAATTTTGTTTTCCTCATTGCTGCATTCCATACCTGAGATGTAGCAGAGATTTCCAGAATGAAGGCTGTGTGAAGAGATAGAGGTCACTCTACCCATTTCCTAAGCGGAAAGCCAACATTTCCAATGCATTACTCATTTTCTTTTCCAGGTGATTCTGATGGGTCTTTATATCTGCCAATGCCTGGGAGATATAATAGGAGTGTTAAAAAAAATTAAGAGTAAGCTTACTTTTTCATAGCCTCTGGGCTAGAGTTCTGGGCTTCCTTTCTTAAATGATACCCAGTATTGTCCTATATTTATAGATTTTGGCAGGAGGAGAACAAACAGGTTTTTACTGAAAGCATTTTCAGTTCATTATCTCACTTAGTCTTAACCCCATAACTAGTTATTATCCCCACTATGGCTAAGTGAGAACAGACTCACGGTAAGGGGCCCAAATCTTATAGTGTGAAGGGGTGCTTAGATACGAATGTAGGTTTGACTGCACTCTTGCCTCTCAGACTTCTTTGATATACCAGTTAACTATTCCTTTGATGAAGCTTCAAGAGAATTACAAGTTCTGAGTTGATCATTTGTATTTCAGAAATCGCCAGGCTGTCTGCCTCTTTTTCCAGCAGCTTTCTTTTTTCACACAAGGATACCCTCTAGGACACTTTCTTCCAGAGACCCAAAGTTCACTAACAGTTTTTCCTGTCTCAGGTACAGGCAGTACTGTGTGTCTGGCTGCAGTGCCCAAGAGATAAGCCATCTTCAAGCTGACTGCTGTCTAGATTCATCATCCTCATTGTAGTAAAACACAGGCCAGGAAGACAAAGACAGGTGCATCTGTGAAAGGAAACAGAAAGCCATCTGGTTTCTGTTAGGGAAATGATGTTTTCAGTTCTTCCTCTGGGCCCAGAGCTAAGGTGACAGAAGGCTGGCACTAGAAGTTTCTTAGATACCACTTGAGTTAGGGAAATTAAGGGCATGAGAGGGTAACTGACTCAGAGTCACTGCCAGATACGGAATTTTAGGCTTAATTTTCTTGCTGTGCCATTATGACATTTTCTTTCTAATGACACTGTTCTAGACAGACCCAAAATTCCTAGTGTTAATTTGACTCAATTCTGATGAATTTAGATCAAATAAAATATATTTAAATGACTTCTCTCTCATTAAAATTTCAATCTGATTCCTCGGTCCCTCTTACTTAAATTACATTGGTAAACCTGAAATGACTTTTTCTGAAACAGGAGGTGTACCCAAGAACACAGCGAACATCTAGGTCCTTGCTTGGTGATTAGGCAGAATTTGTACATTTCTTCTTCCAATAAAAATACTTGTTTCCCAATTTGTAACCCTGCAACTTTTACTGGAATCTCTCTGAAGAGCTACCTAAGACAAGTACCCCTTCCTTCCTCTGAAACACATGACTAATAGTGGCTATGATGCAGAAGAGGATAAATAAAACTTTCAGCAGGAAAACTGCACAGCTGCCTCTAGAGGGCAAACAAGGCTCATTGTAATCGGCAGCTTCCCTTGCTGGTTGACTTAGCTATTCTTCAGTCAGACTACACAGTCCAATTATTCCCTGGGATTAGAAGAACAGGTTTATAGATTCTTGTGAAGAATTCTTGTTTCGTTTCAAACAAACACTTGGCTCTCTTTAGCACTATCCAAGCCAAGGAAAATGAGATGAGCTGAATTATGTATGACAGAAATCTTTATTAAAATGTGTCCTTCAGTAATATTTTAGCATACATACAATATACACACATACATATGTACACTATTTGACACACCTCACAGATAGCCACCATCAGTTTAACCAATAAATTAAAACAACAGAAAAAAAAAGGGGGAGGTAAGATGGGGTGTGATTAAGGGCAAAAATTCCATGTTTTATCTGGTAAGAAGTTGCAAATTTCTCAGAATTTCCCTGGGGAAAACCTGTGACCAGAGGATCTCTGAAATAAAATGCATAAATCCCCAACCACCCTTCCAACCCCCCCCTCAAAAAAAAAAAAAAAAAAATTCCGAAAGATGCAGTTACAACAAGTGTGCTTCTCAGAACAGGAGTATTCATTCCACTTCATACTCTGGCTTCTGCACCTTCTGGCTTCAAGACAGTCTGCCCCTCAGCTGGAGCAGAGAGGTTGATATGGGCACTTGGGCTTGGTGCACCGTGGGCTCTGGGGGTAGAGGGGCAGGCTGCAGTATGGGAGCGGGGGGAGCCACACTCATCGGAGGTGATGTCTGGTACATCGTCTGACTGTGTATCAGAGCTCTCCAGGTCACTGCGGATGCTCTCAGGCTGGGCTAGACTGATGTCCCAAGGTTTGCTGACCAGGCAGTCTTTCTGTTCACAGCTTTGGTGTTTACAGGAAGGATCTTCTTCACTGCCGCCACTACCTTCTTCTTCATTCTCTGCCATCTGTGCATGAACATGGAGCGAGTCCTCTGTGCTACTTCCGCTCACCAGCTGATAGTGACTTGGCTTGGCTTCAATGTCCACCTGGATTTCCATATTGTTGCACTCTCTGTGGAAACAAAACCCACTTTGCTGAGTCATGCATGGGGGATAGTCTCCTATACCTGTTGGTAAAAGTAGTTTGTGGATTCAGGATTATGAAGTCCAAAAAGATAGGTAAACAGTAAGCTAAAGCTCTCTTTTAACAAAAAGAAAACTTTTAACCTAACATTCAAATAAGGAGGGCAACAATTAGATCCTTTTTGCAGATTTAAAACACAGACACACACAGAGACACAGACACATATCCCTCAGGTCATCTCTTTAGACAACTCAATAAGTTCTTCCAAAATTCACCTACAGATCAGATCCTCAACTACATTACTCAAAACACGAAAGTAAAAGATTTACAGCTTTTTACTACTGTGTTACTACTAGAAGAGGCCTGAGTCCCTATAACAGGGATACCATGCAATCACACCATACCAGATAAACTAGCTTCTCAAAAAGAGAAACAGCCTCTAGGAGCCAGAGGGATCAGGAGAGCAAAAAGTCTGGACCCACAGATATCAATGAACACTGAGCTAGCTCTAAGTTCCATGTGAACAGCAAACACTGCTGAGCAAAGAAGGAAGGAAAGAGAGGGATAAACACCTCTAAAAATCAAGTATTAAGAAGAAGTGCTAAGAGATGCCAAACATTCCCGTACCAAGAACTCACTCAGTCAATTCACAGGTATACTACATAACCCCACTAGATGATTCATAGGGCCCTAACATGAAGCACTAGCTTCTGAAGGCCTAATACACAACCCAAAAAAATGCAACCTCTCTGGGAATCTGACTGTTCACATACCTGTCCTGTGGGTTGTAGGAACTGATTATGGAACCGGCCATAGCACGAGTGCTTGCGTTGTCACTAATTGCACCAAGACTGGCTGTGTCTTTGGGGAAAATTTCCTTTTGGACATCGGCTTGGACTTCTAACCTGTATAAAGAGGGGATGGTCAAGTTAATATAAGACCCGGGAATCCCAAGACAATCTACTTCCGAGCATACCTCCATTATTTTCTTGCAAATTGTAATAATCTGATCCTCTCCAATGATCAGAACAGCTCAAGTAGATGCCCACACATTTTCTCTCTTAAATATCTGTCGAAAGCATCTCCTCCTTTCTATCCCCACTGCTACTGTTTAACTTCAGTCCTTCAACATCTCTTGCCTGAATAAGTACAACTAGGCTTCCTCTCTAGTGTCCCCTAAGTCAGGTTAAGCCTCCTTCACACCAATGCTAGTATAGACAAAGACCAAATCACTCTAAAAATCCTCTGGACTCCCTAATGCCTACAGATATTTAATTTCTTTCTTTTTTATCTGCCTCTAATCGTTTTCTCCAATTCTACCTCTTAAATTCGAATCATTTTGAATTTCTTCTTAAGAAACTATACACATTTTAATATGACTTTGCAAATACTTCTCTCTGGAAGTTTTCATTCTCCACTTGACAAACTCATACTTAGTCCTTAACAACACAATGAAAATGTCATAGGTCCTAATTATCACAGCCAACCAGTAACTTCCTTCACATAACACTAACTGCTTATTGTATCATTTTACTAATCTCTCTCTCACTAGTATATGAATTCCACAAAAAGAGGGACCACATCTCATTCACACTTAACCCTCATGCCTCCCACATAATAAGTCGTCAAACATTTATTTAGCAATCTAACTACCCTCAGGCTACACCACTGAACAGCATACCAGAGCTAGTAGCAACAAAACTTTCTCAGTGGTGTCTCTGAACTGAGAATACGTAAGTATTTCCTTTCTTGGCTTCAACACGATTTTGTTGCAGACTTAAGTATTTCCTCATAATGAGCTTCACAGTCAAACCCATCTGATTCATTCACTTCCTATAAAAGAAAGGCTTTCACAGAACTGGAACAGCTGGACTGGCTTAGTGGCAGTTTCAGCACGTCAGCCTCCAATTATGTCTGTCTGCTTATTTACAGGGGTGTTGGTTTTAAGAAAGCACAGCAGTGAGTACTCCTGGCATGTGGGGGCGGGATCCCCTAACAAGAGACAGCCAGAGTCATGAGACACAGATGGGTCAGCAGCCGCCTGCAGCTGCACATTCAGCAGCGTCAATCCTGCCGCCTGTACCTCCGCCTACTGCTCAGTCTCAGATGCCCTTCAGGAATGTGTCAAGGTCCAGGAGAATGAGGTGGTGCAATGGAAAGTGCATCAAGTCAGAAGACCTGGCTGGGTGCTGATTTCAGCTCTGCCATAGAATCACTTAGAATTGGAAGACTGACAAAGCCCACTTACTTAGGTCATTTCCCAGATCCTGGTTCATGTACTGACAGTGCTAGAAACACCTGGGAAGCTTTTTCAAAACACAAATACTCAGCTCCCACTCCAAGAGATTCTAATGTATTCATTCTGGGCTAGGATCCTGAAACCTAGTTTTACAAGGCTCCATAGGCGACTTGATTGCTATTCAGGTGTGGGATCTAGTTCACCTACCATCTGTTGCTTGAATCCCTCTAACAGTTAAATGGCCATCTGGCCCCACTTTAAATACTTCCAGGAATAGGCAGATCAGTATCTACTATGATACTCCTTCCTGCTTTTGATTTTTATATAGGTTTCCCTATATTCTCGATCCTAAGATGGAGCTTTCTGCTCCCATGAAGATTTAAAAGCCTTGGAAACCCTATACACTGTTGCTAAGAGTCGGAACCGACTTGATGGTACTTAACCACTACCATGGAAATTATTTTCCCTGTAGCTTCTGTCATATTTTGGCATGACTCACACAAAGAAGTCTAATCCTTTTTTCCAGTGGAAGTCCCTTCAGATAGCTGAAGACAGCCATCTCCTTTTCTTTCCCTGGCCTGTTTTGCTTACCTTTACTCTCCCCAGGAGTCTTCTCCAGTACAATGAACTGACTGCTTCTCAGGTAGCATGTCATGCTACTCTGGTATGTCTAACTGGTGAAATGACCAACCAAGTCACAACTTCTAGAATCATAAAGCTTTACAAGCTCTCACACAAGTTCATAGAATTGATTGATTTTCTTATCAAATGGGAAATGCTGTTGCTGCTGTTCAGTGCCGTCAAGTCAGTTCTGACTCCTAGTGACCCTGTAAAGGGTTTCTGAGGAGCAGCTGGTGAGGCTGAACAACCGACTTCTTGGTTCAAACCAAATTCGCAGTCCAGTGCATTAATCCATACACCCCATTAGGACTCCATCAGATGGGAATAGGAAGGGAATATAGATTATACCACCAACAAGCCAACAAGATAGAGCACTAAAAGCTGTTCAACTGGGAGCCAATGGCAGGGCTAACAGAGAACACAGCCTTGGGAATTCAAAACGTGTGTGCACTCCCTATCTGATGCAGACAGCCGAGTGTAGTAAAGGAAGGATCTGGACTCACAATGCTTATGGGAAGAACACTGAACTTTGGAAAGTCACTTAACCTTTCTGAGCCTGTTTTCTAATTATAAAGTTTAAAACAAAACAAAACAAACCATTGATAATTACATCAAAATGAGATGATACATGATCTGGCACAGATACAGGTAAGGTACCCACTGCTGTTCAGTTGATTCCAACTTATAGTGACCCAATGTGTCACAAAGTAGAACTGCTCCGTAGGGTTTTCTTAGCTATAGTCTTTATGGAAGCAGATCACTAGATTTTTCTTCTGCAGCACTGCTGGGTGTATTTAAACTGCCAACCTTTAGGACAATAGTTAACAGCAAACCATCTGTGCTACACAGACACACACACATATGCTGGTTCTAACAATTCCAACTGGTTCTGTTACAATTACCCATCTGCTTACCTGCTGTATTTCCCTTTGCCACTGGATAGAATGCCACCACTCAGTGTGCCTCCGGAGAGGGCTGCAAAGCTGGCTGTTTCGCTATAAGGGCCCTGCATAACACTGAGTCCATCTGTAGGGCTCCCACTGGTACTCAGCACACTAGTCAGGCCTTCAATGCTGCTCTCCCCAATGCTGGGATTCTTGAGGGCTCGCCAGGCATCTGCCACTGGGGATGAAACACACATTTCAATTCAAGATAGAATAGTATCAAAACAATCTGGTAGATATTTCCTGCAATGACTCTTTACAGAGTGGAGGATTTTCATGTGAAAAAGCACTCATTAATTCAAACATTTAATGAACAACTACTATCACCATATCACTTGTTTAAACATATTTATTCCGCCCAATAAATACGCACTACTGGCCTCAATTTTAAAGGAGTAAGCTAACACAAAGAATTAAATGACTTGTCCAGCGTCATTACTAGTTACATAAAGCTACAATTCTGACTCTTAAGTCCAGTATTCTTTCCACTACACATTTGTTGTTGTTGTTATTGTTAGGTGCCATCGAGTCAGTACCGATTCATAGCAACCCTGTATACAACAGAATGAAACACTACCCAGTCCTGGGCCAACCTCACAATTGTTGCCACACTTGAACCTACTGATGCTGCCACTTTGCCAATCCATCTCGCTGAGGGTCTTTCTTTTTTTCTCTGACCCTCCACCTTACCAAACATAATATCCCTCCTCCAGCAACTGGTCCACTACACTTGGCAGCCATCTAATCCAACCAAGATGCATTTAGGTCAAGTGCTGATTCTAGTAAGAAGCTTTAAAAACCTCTTTGCCACATTTTTTTTCAAATGGTACCATGGAAACAACATTGTATATAAGTCAGAAGACTTGCTCTAGACCCCGCTTAAAAGATATAGAGACAAAATCTTTAAGTAAAGTTCCCATTAAGTGAAGATAATAACAGTTCTCACTCTCCGTTTTAGGTGGGCTGTTATAAAAAGCAAGTGAGAAACAACTGTGTAAAGTTTGCTGAAAATTATAAAGTACTGTGCAGGTATGAGACTATTAGAAACACCATTACCATCAGCATACTTGGAGTTACTTATAATCCTTACAGTTTGTACCTGTCACACAAAGGCAAGTACCAGAGGAATTAACCTACTAACTCTGAAACAAAGAAATGACATCTAAAAATACTTTATCCTTCTACAAGGTTTATTATCCAAAGCAACCCAATGACAATCTCTAGGAAATGTTCTTAAGTGTATTGATTTTTGTGTGTGTCCCATAAAGTCAAATGGGAAAAAATCCTGCTTTTACCTGTGATTGGACCATCATCTTCATCAAACTCAATTTTGACCCCCTTTCCATTAGCTGTGCTAACTCCACAGCCTCCACCACGACAGAGAGAAATGGGCACAACCCCATAGACATATGCCAGCATAATGGGGACACCAATTCCTGGGGGAAGAGAAAGAAACATGTCAGTAGGCCATCAACTGTAACTGCCCTGAATTTTCCTTTCCAGCCTAGGCATGGACAAACCATTTTATAAAGGGTCAAGGAATGACAGGACTATCCCAAGGTGGAAGCCTAGTTTAACAGAATAATGACTGGACTTGGAACCAGTAGGTCCTGGATTAGAACCTGAACTCCAATTTGTTAGCTGTGCAACCTTGCACATAATCCTTCCAGGGTTGTGAAGATTAATGACAATGACTACCACAGTAAGTATATGTTGTTTTCAGTTTTCTCCTTCTATTCACTGCTGAAGGGCTAACCCAAAAGAACATCAAGAATCATCCCCTAGGCTAATTCCAAAATCTTACTGCTGTGAGGCAGAATGGCTTGTCATTAAAAGCACAGGCTCTGAAGTCAGACTGCCTGGATTTATGCCCCAGCTGTGTGATCTTGAGTAAGTTATGGCTTCAGTATGTTGTATCTGTGCTGTTGTGGGGCTTAAGTGAATCAGTATATGCAAAACACTCAGAATTGCTCCCAGCACATGGAGAAGAATGTTATATAAATAATAAATGCCATTCTATTATTGTTCTTCTAAAATAAACCCAATGGTTTCTCAATATGCAGGCATTAAACAAATTAAAATTATAGTAATTTTGTTGTGTGGGTTCTGTGACATCCATGGCAAGTAGAGAAGGAAGATGCAAAGTGAGAAACCAGGGGTTAAAGCAACTTTCTTTAATTTCACCTTCTGTGTGCCAGACCAAGTTCCAGAGGTATTAACTTAATAAATAAAAGATCCCAAACTCTCATAATTTAAAGCGCCTGAAAAACATTCGTTAATAATGGTGCCTAATTGATTTAACTACTAAAGTGTGTTAGGCATAAAATCTAATACTTCTCAGGGTAGAACATCTTGTCAGTGGTCAAACTGCTAGCTATGGTCAGATAGTTAATAGGAAACAAAGACCAACAGAGGGAGGAGGGAAGTAAAAGAAAGGAGGGGGTAGAAGGGGGAAGGAGAGGGAAAGAAGTGGAAAGAGGAATTGTGGTTCTGACTAGCTTACCAACACTAACTGCAGCGATAACTGGGGATGCAATGACCGACAAAGTCACTCCTCCTGTAATAGCCAAATTCCTCTTGTGCTTGGAGGTTTTCCTTCCTTCATACCTACTATGGATCTAAAAAATAGAAAATTCAGGTCATTAAGTCAGATCTTCAATATTTAAAAAAAAATTTTTTTTTGGCCAGGACAGTGAATTATTCACTTCCAAATTATCTATATTAAAATATATCCTCCATCATAAAGAGACATCTTTATCAAATTTTAATCTGACTCAGACCTGTAAAATATAAACTAATGAGGGAGAAGTTTCTCCAAAAAAAACGACAAAATAACTCAAGAGAATGAATCATTTCACCTTTAAGTCACTGAGAGAAATCAGGTCCAGGCTGTCAAGAGACCTGAAAGTTCTTATGGAAATCCATTTAAGAAACTAGTTATTTTTATCCTGGAACCAGCTGGTTTTCACACAGCTCTGGAATATACACTCCTTCCCAGTTCCCTCAACCTTTATCAACAAGCTTGATGCCTACAGGTATACGCACAGAATCCAATGTCTTACCTTCCTGCCAACATAAACAGGAATGCCAATGACCATGGCAGGAATAGCAATGCCAGCAATGAGGGAAATTCCCACCGGAGCACCAATCAATGTGCCCAGCTGCCAAAGAATTTTCTTCTTACGGCTCCACGGCTTCTTGCCCCAGAATGTGCAGCCAGAGGGGCTGCAGAGGAAACATATACTGAAGTTAATGTCAAGATGACAAGTGCAGTTGTTGTCATCAGTAAATCTAAGAGAAAGAGCCTTCTTTTCAAGAACAGTAATTAATAAGAGGTTACAGGAAATGAATTTAATAGACAGGGAAAGCAAAGGACAAGGCCAGACTATTAGGGCTCTGGGTGCTTAACTAATTTTTTTTTAAATAAAGGCATGACTCTAGATTTCCCTAACTCACAAACACTGATCAGGCTTCCTAGACTGATAAGACCAGGAGTCTTACATAGCCCAGACTAGAGATCTAGTCAGCATACTCATCCAAATACAGTATGCCCTGCTGCTAATGAACCCTGATTTGCAGTTTTCTTGGCATGTGCCCTATACAGCTGATAAGATGCCTTACTGCAAACCATGTTCTTAGCAAAGTAGTTAAATAGACCTCTTCACATCATCACTTTTGTATCAAGTTTGGCTACTTTTACTCTCAGTCCTTCTGTACCCAACCCACTTTTGTTTACTCCTTTCATCTTTGTATACATGCTCTACTATATGAGATAAGCAATTTTAAAGGTAGACATCATGTTACCCCTCTGTCCCTAATAATTGCTATATAGTAAGTACTGAAGTCCTAGTGTGGCGCTGTGGGCTAATGCATCAGACTGCAAAGTCATCTGAACTGCAAGGTCAGTGGTTTAAGCTCACTAGCTTGAAATCCTATACAGAGTCGCTATGGGTTGGAATCAACTTGATGGCACATAACAACAACAGTAAGTACTCCTGGTGTGGCACTGTAGGATCAGCATCGGACTGTGAACCACAAGGTCAGCAGTTCAACCCACTAGCAACTTTTTAGATAGCCTATACAGGGTTGCTATGAGTCAAAACTGACTCGACAGCACTTAACAGCAGCAGTAAGTACTCAAGTGTTTGCTACATTGGAAATGAAGGTGTTTCACCCACACAATGAATGCTAAACATTAACTCTTCCCGGACAATATTTTAATTAATCATTTGGAAACTTACCACATGTAAAGAACTGTAAAAAAAGAAATAACCTTGGTCTCAAGAAACTTACAGTTTAGTAATACTAGACATGTACATGAAGTAAAAAGTAGTGGTGTTCTTAAAAACAAAGATAAAGGAAGATTAATAAAGAACGAGGCAGGAAAAGTTAGAGAAGGCATGACAGATGAAATGGTATTTAAGTGGTCCTTGAAGGATAGATAAGAATTGAGCAAGTTGAGATAAAGGGGGTATGGTATAATTCGCATTTCAGGCAAAAGAAGGAGCTGAATAAATGTGGGATGAGACAGCACAGAAGATACTGGGAAGGAAAAGTCCAGATTATCTGGAATATGAACAAACAAAAAAACTCCAAATCATAGTGACCTCATATGACAGGGTAGAACTGTCCCCGATAGGGTATCCAAGGCTGTAACTCTTTACAGAAACATACTGCCTCATCTTTTCCCCATGGCGCAGATGTGGGTTTGAACCGCTGGCCTTTTGATTAGCAGTCAAATACCTAACCCACTGCATCACCAGGGTTCCTTATCTGGAATGTACAGCAAATACAAAAACAAAATGGAAAAAGCTAGAAAAGTAGATGAAAATTAAACTCTATCTGGAAGGTAATGGAGATGAGATGGTGGTCTCTGGAAGTTGCTGAGATAGAGAATAACATGACTGGAGGGGTGCTTTTGAGGAAAAATATTTTTTTTATAGCTTCCTTATACAGTAATGAGATTAACTATATCTCTTTGACATGCTTTCCCCTAAACCAGTGAAAAAAATTAGCAATGGACACATTTGCCATCTCACCTGAGGTAATGCAAGTCTGAGATCTCTTTCATACAAAGCCAGCAAAATTCACAGCCACATACTGCACAAGTCATGTGATTACAGCTTCCATCATTCATCTTGATAATGTAAGCACTGCATCGTGGGCATGACTTAATGTCATCTGCTAAGAGGGAAGGAAGAATGGATAGAAAAATAAACCAAAAATCAAACCAAACCCACTGCTGTTGAATTGATTCCAATTAATAGCAACTCTCTAGCAAAGAGTAAAACTGCTACATCTTTTTTCCAGAGCGGCTGGTGAGTTCAAGTTGCTGACCTTTCTGACAGGAGCTGGGCACTTAACCAATGCACCATCAGGGTTTCTTGAGTAGAAAAATATCACTAGTGACCCTAATTTGACTTAACTATTCATCAGAGTATCTGTAAGAAAAAATTACAAGGCTGTCAAGAATTCTTGACTAGGAATTCCAAATTGTGTAACTCACTTTATTGAGGGCTGGCTATGTCTAGACCTCAGGAATTTCATTAACGGTATTTTGTCTCATACTGAGTTGCCTATCCCAATAAGTGGCATACTAACACAGCAATTGCACCAAACTCAAGCAAGGAGACTTCCCTTGAGAGCAATAAGATGATTCCAAGAAAACTATGAAATCCACCAGTTAGTAGGCTGGCAGAACTAAGAGCAGAGTGCTGCCAAGAAGAATAGGCTGTACCTGGAAGTTCTGAGAAATTTTAGTTGAGGAAACTCATTTTGTAAACTCACAAACTCATTGTGATTTGTTAACACAACCTACAGTCCCTTCCTGTGATCCTTTCAAATTTGAAACTTAAAAACAATTGGTATTGCTGTGTAGCACACACCTAGTAATTTTCACAGCAAGCGAGGAACTATCCTATTACAAAGACCATTTAGGAGAGTATTTTGTGCCAGGAAAAAGTGAATGGTAAAATCTTTCCTACTAGCCTCTCCCAAATGACATCAGTGAAATAAAATACATTTATGAAAAGGAATAAACCATTGACATTTTTTAATAGGTTTACTCTGACTTGTCAAGGTTGGAAATAAATGTGTGATATTCTTCCTTTTAAAGTTAATCATTAGCCCATACTAATATTGTTCACTTTACTTAAATCTGTATCCTACTTTTGAAAAGCAGTGGTAGACTCAAAACTAATGGGAAAACAACACAGACTTAAACCTAATTAAATGTCTTTCTGCTTACAACGCAAGTTTTGGAAAAAAAAATCCCCATCAAAAGGACCTAATTGCTTTCAACATGAGACAAACCAACCCATTACTAAGAAGGTAAAACTAGAGAATCCAATTTATTACAGTTTGCTTTTACCTGGGCTGGATAATCTATAATGATCAGAAATGAAGGGTACACATCAAATACGGAAAGTTGTGCCAAATGGTATTTTATGCTTTTGTTATACAGTAATATTCTTCCAGGTTTGGGCCTACATTATGAAATATCAAATGAAGAGACAACTAACTCATACCTGGTCCAGAGTCTGGTCCGTAACTGAGGCCTGAAGTATGTTTGGTCCTTACTCGCAAAGTCTGCGCCCTCTGCTGACGGGCCATATCGCATGTCTGATTTGGATGCCATATCTGTTTGCAGTGGTAACAGAACTCAGTCTGGCAGCCTTCCCTTTCACAGGTCAGCTTTGGGCAGCTGGCACAGCCATAGGCAATAACAGCATAACTGGGTAAGAAAATAAGAGAGACCAGTATGATAAAGAATGATCTAACCAACACAGATATTATTCATCAGTTCTAGTGGGTTAACATTGTTTGGTGCCCCAATCCCTACCACACACGATACAAAGAAGACACACATGTGTGTGCCTGATCAACTATAAAGTATATTCTACATGAAATGTGGAGTCTTGGTGTGACGCTGTGGGTTAATGTGCTGAACTGTGAAATTGGTTTGAACTGCAAGGTCGGTGGTTCAAGCTCATCAACTGCTCCTTGGAAACCCTATACAGGGTTTGGATCGGAACCGACTCAATGGCACATAACAACAACAACATATGAAACGTAGAATTCTTAAGATCCAAACACAAATTGCTTTATTTCCTGAAAAAAGTGGGGAAAATACATTTAAACAAATTTCTAGCATTTCCACCATCATTGTTTAAACGGCGTTAGAAGTCTACTGCAGCAAGTTTCATAAATAACAGGGTACAAAACTATTTTCTTTCAATGGCTTACTATATTTAGAGATTAGAATTTATTTACATGAGGGGATGAAACACTTGTCAAATAAAGAGCCATAGCAAAAAATAAAGCAAGTGTACTTTTCTCATTTTAAAGTTCTACAGTGAAGTAGGACTTCTGGTGTGGCGCTGCAGAATCAGCAGTGGACTGTGAACCACAAGATCAGCAGTTCAAACCCACCAGCTGCTTCTTAGGAGCCCTATACAGGGTCACTATGAGTTAGAACTGACTCAACAGTACTGAACAACACAGTGTAGTCTGACCACAGCCACAAAGGATTCATGATCAACTAATCCTAAATTGAGAGTTCATCTTATCTTCCTATGCTTTTTCTTCCTCTTTTCAACTCAAATCCGTACCTTGAACTTTTTTGGATAGTATCCAGAATGTAAAGGAGCTCTAGTAGCATAGTGGTTACAAATCAGGCTGCTAACCTCAAGGTCAGCAGTTTGAAACTACTAGCTGTTCCATGGGAGAAAGATGAGGCTTTCTGCTCCTGTAAAGATTTGTAGCCTCGGAAACCCTGTGCAGGGCCACTATGAGTCGGAACCAACTCCACGGTACTTAACAACAACATCCAGAATGTAAGAACACTACCCAGCTATGTTAGTAATAGAGCATAAGGACATATCATTTTCTTTGTCTTCGGACACATATTCTTAGTTTCAATTAGCACCAACATCAACTCTTTCTTGTAATTCATGTTTATTTACCAAAAATTAGTCTCTCAAAAACAATTCAATACACTTATAACAATTAGCCTTTCTGTTTAATCTAAATGTCAATTAAATGCTCAAATTACCCTAATAAGTGGATACTGTTTCAAACAAACAAAAAAGAATTTAAAAAAGCAAATGGATAAGGAAAGACCGCAATTGTAAAAGCTCTCCACACAATTTTTAAAGAAAGGTCAATGATTGCTGGCTTAGGTGCTGCCGTCTAGACTTTGTCATGCTCTCCCTACCAAAGACCTTAAGTGATTTGTGCATAAGGCTAATGATATTTTCTTAGATTATTTGTGCTGTTTATTTAAGTGTACACTAGATGTTCATGACAGCAACTCAAGTTCTTGATTTATCATAGATTCTGCAAATTGATTTGAGAACAGATGCCAATGAATGTACCCCCAATGTTATATAACATAGGATGTGTTAAAACTCTTCTCAGAAAGAACAAAATGAGAATAGGTCAATGTGTAAATGCAAATGATTCATATCCTGTAGGAGTTTTGAGCAAATATCTCCCACCTAGGTGCAAAGTAACTACTAAAGATAAACAATGTTTTTCCTGAAGAAAGTGAATGCTATTATGTGATAAATGGAAACTGGTACTAGATGGTCACATTAAGCCAACTTCTGATGATACAAATTAGACAGAATGTAGTAGGTCAGGAAGCCTTGATCATGATCCATTCCTATCTCACATGTAGAGGTAAATATGAACAAATTCCAATTTTTTTAAAAAAGAGAATTTGGTAGCACTGACAATGTTAATTTGGGGTATGGAATTTTATTCCAAGGAAATAAAATCACCTCAAAATACTGATGAATAAACAGCAGTCTTTTACCATGACACAGAATTACTCAGGACACAAGATTTGGCATTCTGGTTTCTGGGCACCTAGTCAGGACTCCTTGACTCATACTGCCTGACACTGAGCTAGCTAAAATCTCCAAACCTTAGGTTCTATCCCAAAATGGAGGTATAAGTGTTCATTACCTTGAAGTGTAGCTTAACTTAGGTTCTAAAATTGCACTTAATAGCTTGCCCTTAAAAGTCCTACACTACTTCCTGACTTTGCATATGATATTTCTTCTACCTAGAAAAATTCTTTCCTTATTTCTTGTCCTGGCAAATACTTTAGAACCTGCTCACATGCCATCTTCTCTGTGAAAATCTACTTAACCTCTCTAAGCACTGCTTGGCTACCTTGTGCCTATACATGTTTTCTAATATGTATCACATATATTTTATACATTTTAAATGTATTATATAAACATATCACATTTTCTGCTTATAGGTTTGTTTCCCCACCCAGACTGGATCCTTTTTTTTTCATCTTCAGGGTCTATCATGAATTCATACTCAAATTTATCCATCTATCTATCTATTGGCTTATTATATGTTGGGTACTATTAAACTCATTTTAAGGTTTAAGTGTAAACCCACATTGGGAGTAATCCTCTAAATTCTGAACAGGGCAATTTTCTTCCTAGGTAATTGAAAACCCCTACCTCATTCTTGAGACGACATCTACCCCAATCATCTTGTACATGCTCTGCACTAGGGTGGCTCTCCAACCCTGCTCTCTCCACTTACCCATTTTATTTTAACCAAATTCAAGTAGGCTAATTAGAAAACTAAAAGGGAAATATAGATTATATACTGTTAAGAATACAGACACAAAACTAAAGATTTTTATTGTAATTCAAAAAAAAAAAAAAAAGATAGACACATCATGCTCCCCTCTTATACACTCAATTATTAATCATTTTACTTTTTTAAAACTTCAGAAACATCATAATGTGATAGGATAGACCATAGCATTACCTAACTTTGAGTCTAGCCAAAAAAAAAAAAAAAAAATCCTATTAGTATGAATTTGCTTATGCTCCAACCCCAGGTGTTAAGAAAACATGTTCCTGCATGTCTGTGCTTCTCATTCCTAGGCACTGTAACTAGGCTACCCATTTACAAAGGGATCTTGAGTATGTGTCTGGAAAGGGGGTAGTAGACATGATTCTTCCTTTAAATACCCCCTGAGCACAAGCAGTTACATTGGAGCTATACTCCCAGAGTTAAACTTGAGCCAAATTGTCACAATGAGCTGCATCCTTACCATCTTATTTTCCTGCCCCAATTCACACCCATGAGGCCACACAACTGCATGAACCTCCTGTCTGGTCTTCTTATCCCTCACTCCAATCCAAGTAACATCCCAAAATGTTATCTAACAAGAAAACATAATATTACTCTTTTGCTAAAATTCTCCAAGAAAAAAATTGTTCAATACCAGCGGGATTAAAAACATAAAACTTCTGGCCCACTTTTCAGTCAAGCAGTAGCTAGGCATAGAAGGGACAACAACACTAGTAAGGTATGCTCACCATGGAATGGTCAAATATTCAAAATCAAAACGGCAACATTTACCTAAGAACATAGTTGAGAACATAGGAAGGTGGGTAGAATGGAAATAGGAATCACAGGGAGGAAGCAGGATAATTTGCTGCATGGAGGGGATTGCAATCACTGAGATGAAACAAAGTGTGTGATCTGTTGAATGTAAAACTGATGATTTTGTCTGTAAATCTTCACTCAATTCACAAAATGTTAAAAAATTAAGAAATAAACTCCCAGCAAGATGGCAGACTAGGCAGATACATTATGTGGACCTTCAACAAAAATGCAAGAGGATCACATAAAACATACCAAGTTGGAAATTCTGGTATCCTGAACTTCAGAAGAAAGGTTAGAGAGGTGGATGGAGTGCTTGCTGGGAGGAGAGGCTGAGCAGGGACAGTGAGAGAAGGGGAGACTGACTGGTGAAGGGCTGGCCAGAAGCAGCCTGATCAGCTTGTGAGTTTTGGCAGCAGAGGGAGGCCTGGCAGAACAGATGCACGAGGGCAATGAGAAAATGTGACTTCTTCATTTTCCCCTTGCTCCCTGTTGATCAGAGTTGTGGCCAGCTCCCACCCTCATCAACCCCCAGCTTAGCTCTCTGGAAGATTGCAATCACATGGTTGGGAGTCATACTAGTGTGAGTTGGGAACTGGCTGTGCCACTTTGGTGCCTGGATTCAGGTGGGCTACGCACGCTCCAGACCTAGAAAACCTGCAGACACACCATTTAACCAGCCCCATCAAGGGTCCCCATGAACTACTTCTGGATTGAGTGGCCTGCACAATGATAACACCAAGGCCAATAGGAACTCCATCTAGGGCCAGGAATCCTGCAATCACATCTCTTCCACAACTGCCTCATGAACTCCAAAGATTTCTCCCTTCCAGGTTCAATAACTACACTGTTTGTTACAAATACAACAACCCCACAAATGCCCTGGAGACAACAGGCAACTTTAGCTCACACGAAGAAACAGGAGAGAATGGCTCAAACAAATGACAAAGATGTAGAGACACAAAATATTTCTGAGGGAAAAAAGGTAATGGAACTAACTGAAAAATCAAGAGAATGCTATTTTGGTACCTTTAACAGACTGACAGAGAGATTGAGGAAAGCAAGGAGAACACAGGAAAAAAATTCAAAGAATTCAGGAAAATACTTCAAGAACAGACAAAATAAATGCAAATTTTGAAAGTATACAAAAACCGTAAATAGAAATCCAGAAGATTAATACTAAAATCTTAGATAAGAAGAATAATACCGTTGAGAGAGTAAAGGAAGACAATTGAAGAAAGCAATGGAAGATTGAATCAGTGAATTTGAAACTAAATCTCTCAGTACTAGTATGCTACAAAAACAATC